AGCTGGGGGGGTGGGGGGGAGTGGCAGCGGGGGAATGCAGTCACAGTGGTCTCTCCCTGCTGGTGCTGGCTGTAGTGGTCTGTGACCCCGCTGCCTCTTCCGATACAGCCAGGGATTGAAAGGGGGACAGACCAGCACCAGCGTGGAGGAGCAGAGTGGCGGCAACTTATCGTAAAAGCAACTAATCAATGATAAGTATCGTTGCCAACGATTCCCATTATCGATTTCATCGATTAGTTGTTGCAGCACAAGTTGATTCCTCCTCACTTTCATCCAATGTGTTTTTTTATAAAACTCCAGTTAGTTGCATTTTTGATGCAGTTGACAAAAGGTCTGCCACCAAAAAAAGCACACGTAAAACACAGTATACATGCATTTCAAGGCAGAAAGTGTCTTTTCCTGGAAAAAAAAATAGAATTGGATGAGATTTGTGTCAGAAATGCATGGGGAAAAATACTTACCGATGTATATTAACCTCTTGCCGTCCGCCCGTTAAGAAAAAACGGACGGGCGGCTGACTCCTACCTGCGGGTTGCTGTCGCCAGACGGCATTTTTTTCCTGCTCTCGCGTGCCCACGGGCAGGAAAGACCCGCTTGTTACTGCAGCCGTTAACGGCTGTTTCACATACAACCGATCAGCGGCTCTATAGCCGCCGATCGGTTGTATGGCGTGAATTTCGGAGGCCCCCCCCCCCCCCGGCCCCCAAAAAAGTCCTGAATAAAACCTACATTCTTTCTGTAAAATGTTAAAATGTTTTTTTTATAAACAATACAAACACAGTAGTCGGCTTGATTCTTTAAATTCTTTCCATCCTTGCGCTGTTTGTTTTTATGCTTTTATTTTCCCTGCGGAAGAGTACAGCTGTTTTCTGCTTTTATCTTCCACCATTGATTTTTCAACCTGTTGCTTCTTTTTCCTTCTCTCCACCATTGTTTTGCTGTGCTCAGTCAGACTGGAGTCACTGACAGTTGAGGGGCTGTAGATAAGCTGGTTAGATGATGGCTGGCAGATGGCTTCTAGTGATAGAGACCGTTAAACAATTCCATCATGTTTAGCTGCTGACACTAATCCTGCAGTTGAAAGCAACTTTAACAGCCATTGAGGCTCAGGAGTCAAAGGGTTATCCTTTCCTTGACTCGCAGGAGTTATAAATAGTCATTTGTTTAATGAGAGTGATTAACACCTTTGGCGGAAAAAGAAACAACAGATGAGCATGCAAAACAGGAGGGGCTTGGATATCTTTAGAGGTTTTTTGTTATAGTTTTTCTATAGTGACACTCCAGTATTTAAAGTGAAAGTCTAGCGAAACTGTTTTTGGGGATTAACCATTTTCTCTATCTACAAGCTCTTTCAGGTTTTACTGCGGTTTTAGTCTTTTCATTGGGTGAGAATTGCCCTTACTTCCTGTTTTCTTAGATTAAAAAAAACTAGAAATCTCTCCAATGGACAGTTTGTTTTTTGTTTTTTTTCTTGGGCGGAAGCTATCTAAATGCGGACACAGACGGCAAATAAGATATTAAGAGTCCCTAACCCATCCTCATGTGTTTCCATTGATGAGATATCCCCTCACTTCCTTTCTGGCAGACAGTAATATTTGACACAGGAAGTGCAGGGAATTCTCTCCAGTGGAGACAATAAATCGAAAACAAACTTGGATAGGCTTTAACCAACCTTATCCAGAATTAGGAAAAAGGTTTTTGATCATCCTCTGGATGCGGAGCTTTTTGGACAAAGTTTCATTTACTAAATAATCTCTGTATGGAAATATTATGTAAAAATGTAACAATGAGTAACGATTTTAGGATTTGAGTTATTCTTGTCAATCCATTAGGCTCTAGAATTTTCTTTATTCAAGATTACAATATAGTAATGGTTGATTGTACCTACCCATTGTTCTCCATTTCCTTTTCTTTTTTTTTTTTTTAACCACTTCCGGGCCGCAATACGTCTATAGACGGCGGCCCGCAGCAGTGGTTAAGTGGCTGCTGCAGCAGCCGTGTTCTTGGTGTCGTTTTTAACAGCAGACGATTGCTGTTAATGTGCAACAAATCCGGCGTCTGTACAGCCGCCGGATCATTTATACTGTGCGGCTTCCAGCAGCTGATCTCTCCTCCGATCACTGGACCTGGAAGTGATGTGTACTACATCACTTCCGGTGTCACTTGGTACAGTCTCTTGATCTTAGAGCCAGGAGAAGAAGCTGGGGAAGCAGATCTTTGCTTCCTCAGCTCCTTTGGGGTCCCTAGGTGACATCAGGGGTCTGATGTCTCCATAAAGAGGACCTGTCACACCCTATCTGCTATTACATAGGGTGCTTGTTAGCAATAGGGTTAGCAAATGTAATAGCCATAGGGTTAGTGTAAAAAAAAAAAAGTGTTTAAAAATTATAAAAATTAGAGTAACATATAAGAAAAAAAAAATGCAAAAAAAAAGCCCTCCACGTGCACGCACATAAACACGCGTTGATGCGCCTACGTGCGAAGACGACAATTGTGCATGTTACATATCAACGCGAACGTCGGAGTGAGAGCAATAATTCTAGTGCCATCAATCACTGTTGGCACTAAACTGATGAGCAGTAAAAGCGTTTTAAAGTGTTTCCTATGGGAAATTTGGGATATTGGCTTTTTTTTTTTGCGGCTTTACGGGCGAACGCAATTTTAAGGCTTGATATCTATGGTATGTATTTACCCGATGTGACCCCGTCTTTCATATTTCACCAATAAAATGGGTATTATATTATGTTTCTGTGCACTAACTTTTAATTTAGTTTATTTTTTCCTAAAAATACTGGTTTGATGAACATTTGCACAAAAACCGTGCGACATACAAAAATTGCAACCAGCATTTTTTTATTCTATAGGGCCTTTGCTTTCAGAACATATATCATTGTTTGGGGGTTTAAAGCTGTTTTCTAGCCAAAAAATTCTGCATTGTGCTGTATAATTTTCTATTGCTGGGTTTTGTAGTCCTCTATAGACGGTGCCATTCTGCATTCATTGCTGTATAATTTTACACTTTCCATTTCACTATATTGCACACCACCCTTTTTTTTTTTCTTTTCTACTTCCACCGCTCCAAGCTTGCTCCTGTGATGGACTGCAATCTGAATACAAACTAGTAGTCCCATCACTGGAGCCATTTTTTAAAATGTATTTTATTTTTTATCCGGGGTCACGTCGGACATTTGTTTTCCATGGTCCTTATGTGTGTTGTAAAATATAGACCGCTCCAAGCTCTCTCCCGTGATGGACTACAATCTCATGTTTAGTTTACTAATTTGTATTGAGATTGTAGTCCATAACGGGAGCGGTGGCTATTTTACAACACATGCAGGAACCATGGGGAACAAAAGTAGCCCCCCTCCAGTGTCCGCACCAATTCAGAGATGATTTGAGGATCTACAGCTCAGTGATTGCTTTACTGTCATCTGTTTTCTGCAAAGGACAGCCACCTCATCTCTGACGTGCACTGATGGAAGGCCAAGGTGTAATGCAAAGTTGTCTTTGTCCAGAAGACTGTGTTCAGGGTCCGTTTTCTGTATCTCGTATTTACGGTTCATTTCTATTCTGGTTTCTGTTTGGATTCATTTTTTTTAACCCCCTGAATCGTATTATGTTCTGTGGCTGACTTGCCTTGCGGCACCGGAATCCATAACAGGTTGACCTTTCCAAATTTCTCTTGACATCTTGTAACAATACATCAATCACATCCTGTTAGTGTTATCCTATGTAAATGTGGGAGCTTGATGGGAACATGAAGAGAACTGGTCCAAAGTCAGCCTCCAGGCTTTGGTGTCTGCTTCTTTTCTGTACTATTTGCTAAATCCTGGACAACATGTTCATAGTGATGCTGTAAGGTTATGTTCTATGTTTGTGCATGTATTATGGCTTGTGGGTCATTTTTGTTCTTTTGCCTTTTGATATAGATTAACGTTCGAGTGACTACCATGGATGCGGAGCTGGAGTTTGCCATTCAGCCGAACACAACTGGCAAGCAACTCTTTGACCAGGTACATACAAAATAATATGGACACTTTGTTGTTAATATATTATTGTATTATTTTCAGCACAGTTTACTAGAGGTGCACCGAAATAAAATTTTCTAGCCGAAAATAAAAAATTTGTTAAAACGAAACTGAAAACTTTTTTTTTTCCAACCTGTTTAAATTCTATATACATTTAATTTTTTAAAAAACATTTTTTAAAGCATCTATACTGAGTATTCCTGTTCATTCATAACTTGTGGCGATAGGATGTTTACCATGTCCACAATAATGAATAAACAGGAGGTGATGTAGAGCACTTCGTGATCATTTAAAATTTGGGACACAGTAAACATACTATGTCCTCAATTATTTACAAACACTTACTGATCACTGAGAGTTTGTATACCGCTCCCCTTCCTGACTCGCTGTCACAGGAGGCTGAGCAGGGTTCGGAGGAAATCTTGGTCTTTGACTGCTGACTACTCCCCCAACCGCTGCATCGGCCTCCTGAGACAGCTGTCTCCTCCCCCGCACCGCTCTCCATCCTGATCTGAGGATGGAGAGCGGGGTGGGGCGGTGCCGGAGCAGAGCTCGGCCTCTTGTGACATCGCCGCTCACATCGCTCTCTTCCCCGCCCTGCTTGGCCTCCTGACCGTTTCTCTCTTACCCACTGGGCACTGCTCTGTGTCAGGCTGTCTGAGGCGGGAGGCTTGTGGAAGATTGAGATACAGAGCTCTCCTCACCGCTGGGCACTGGCTGCAGGGGTCTGTGTCCCCATCCCTGCTGGGAACAGCGGAGATCAGCCCATTAAACAACTAATCATACAATCAAAAAATTGATCATGAGAATCGCTGACCACTATTTTTATTATCGATTTAATAGGTTAGTTGATGCAGCCCTATATGTAACATTCATAAATTCCCCTTGATAAGTGTTGTATAAAGCATAGGTCCTCAAACAGTGGTAGGTGTAGCCTGGAGGGTTCTTGTTAATAAAGGGGAACATACTTAACTTCAAAGTGATATATCTTAAATATATATCTTGTATACCTTATTTACCTTACATCTAATACTTTTTGTGCTGTGGTGTTTGTTACTTAGAACTGATTTATTATTTGTTTTGATAGAAAGTAATAGCAGGCATTACATGTGTACATGAAATTTAAATACACAAAAGTCAAGAGTACAATTGTAGCCAAAGCAGGCAACAAGCAGATTGTTGTGGTGTTTAGCCGCTTGTGGGGCCCTACACTATAATGACTCATCCAGGCAGCGATAAGCATTTGTAATGTCATCCAAGGTAGAAAAAGTATACGTAATCCAGACAGGTGTCAGATTGGTATATATATGTGTATTCTGAAGAGTTATTGATACAGAATAGCACATAACTCTGTAGTGGGTATATCATAGTTACATAGTATTTGAGGTTGAATAAAGACATTAGTCCATCAAGTCCAACCTATTAGGATCTCATTCTAGGAGTACCTGTACCCCTGAGGGCTTTATCATTAGTATAGGGGTTTGCAGAGCGTTACTCCTGTGTCAGGAATGTTGTCTTTATTAGTGGTATCTTGTCTCTTTTGTAGGTGGTGAAGACGGTCGGTCTGCGTGAAGTTTGGTTCTTCGGACTGCAGTACGTGGACAGTAAGGGCTACTCAACTTGGTTAAAGCTGAATAAAAAGGTTTGTTCCCCTCTTCATCAACATGTATTGTTTGTTCTGATGTATGCTTTTATCCCTTTTCTTTGTTCTGTCTTTGGTTTAGTGTTTTAATTACAAGCCTGTGTTTATAGTCCTGCAGTGTCAGGTCAGGCTGGCTACGTCTAATATGCTTGGATCTGTTTTAAGAGAATTGAACAATCAGCCTTCCCCACATAAATCAGGCCTGTGAATTTTTCAGGTAAAATGTGCGTATAGATATGTCATCCAGTTCATGTAATTACTTGTTGTCTGTAGGACACTTGCAGACACCAGCTTGTTGGGGGTAGTGCCATCAGACAAGTCCTTGTAAAGTCAATGGGGGGACTTTATCAAACCTGGAGCAGACAAAATATGGAGCAGTTGCCCATGGCAACCAATGAGCTTCTCTCTTCAGTATGTTTAGTTAAGATTTGAAAATGAAACAGAGAAGCTGATTGGTTGCAGTGCACAGCTGCTCCAGATTTTTTTTCTGCTCCAGTTTTGATAAATTACCCTCAATGTTTCTTTACCCTGATAAACCTGAGGTGTCTGCAGGAAACATGCCCACCCTGCTCCACAAACCCAAATAGTTGGCTGGTGCTATTTTTCGTCTTTTGAAACAGGTTGGCCAAAGGAGTTGTCTGATGGAGAAAATAATAACTGGTTATCCTTCCATTAAGCTCTTTGTTCAGGCACTTCCGGTTAAAACGCGACAACAGTCTCCTAATTTTTTTTTCTGTTACCACACTGTCACGTGCACCCCTGCTGGAGACTGGTCCATAAAAATGATGTTCAGAGGATACTGTAGCAAGTGCATGTAAACAGGAAGTGGTTAAAAAAAGGCTAAAGGATATTGAAAGCACTGAGATCCAAAAAAGGATGATAAAAAACATTGAAACATAACATGCTTTATAGAGAAAAGAAACTGGCAATGATTTGATATACAGTGCTTTAGCCAACAAAATGTCATCCAGTTAGGGTTTACCTATACTTTAATGGTGACCATAAATGGCTGTCTAAGAGCTGATTGCATTAGAACTTTGAAGATCACTTGCAGCAGTTGGGCTCTGTAAGCTTTGATGGTGGAGAAATAAAACTTGAAGTGTTTATTATTATATGCAGATTTTCTTACTGTGCAAAATGTCTGCAGCCAATCATACCTGTTCTTCCATACAAAGGGGAGCAGCCCTTTTCACAATGTGTGCCATTTCCATATGCTGGTGAGGCATAGATGGATCCCCCTGCCTACGCAGAAAGACCTGGCCAGCTATGGTCATATTAAAGTTGACCCTTACTCCGATTTTAGCTTCAAGCTATATTAACAGTTTTGCTAGATTGCTTTTTTGGCTTCAAAGGCACATCAACATTTACATGACAAATCTGGTAGCTCAGACAGTTTTACATTTACTGGAACTGGCAGTATGGCTCATGAATCAAGGAATGGCAGATTTCACAGCAGTTATACCAAAACCGTAACGTACTTTAGGATTCTGTATAGTGTCTCTTCACACCCAAGCGTTTCTATCTCCAAGTCAATCAACAACCAAAATCCTATGATTTTAAATTGTGCAGGTTCACATGTAAGCGCTCAGGTACCTGAATTTCAGAAAGGTACATAGGATACTTTTAAAGCAGAATGGGGCGTGTTTGGCCTTATACTTCAGGGGAAATGCCTAAAATGAGCATTTTTCATGGCTAAACGACCATCTCCTTTTAGAATCTAGCTTTCCATTGGCTAAAACAAAAATGCTCAAGCCTGAATACGCCTGAAGAAACCCAAATTAAAAATGCTCCAAAATCGCCTCAGTTAGTCTGTTAAACTATTTTCTATATTGATTCCCAGGACTCCAGCTGTGAGAACGTTTGCTGGATATTTACAGTTCCATCCACCCTGCACTTGGTGGTATCTAGCTTACGTTTAACCTTGTCAAGGCTGTGTCCTGCTAAATTCATTTTGATGGTGAATTCAGTAATGGGGGAAGACACACTTTGTTCTATTATTAATAAACAGTTACAATCATGTAAGAGGGCAAACAAGAAAACTGCAAATGAATTCTCACTACTGTAGTCTCACTCTAGCCAGTTGAATTGTTAAGCAGGCATGCCTGGGTTCTATAGGAGCCCACCCTCCATACTTTTCCTATAGCTAGTGAACTTGACAACAAAACTGAAATACTTGAAAAAACTAGAACTGAGGCAGAGCATTTACAGTGGTCAGAATCTCTCAGTGCCTGTAGTATGAAACATCCCTCTCATAATGCGGAACACGTGGGATGCGAGGAACCGCAGTAGAAGAACTGTTCATAATCGACAGAATCTAGATCCCTTAAAGCAGGGATGAGGATCCTCCGGCCCTTCAGCTGTGGGGGAACTACAAATGCCATGATGCTGGAGATTCCCCACCCCTGCCTAAAAGGGTTAGTTCACCTTTGCAATAAAATGTACTATGCAGTCAAGGGTGCCCACTACTTTAAAAAAAAAACAGTGTAGCTTTAAAATTTGTAGTTTAATTTAATTCCAATATCTGTAGGTCCACCGTGGTTTACCCATAACCTGCCTGAGAAACTACTAGTGGGAGAGATCATTGCCACCCTGCCAGTGATCTGGGGCACACCGTATATTAGGTGTGGCCCCAGCATCACTTGAATGGACACTCTCCCTCTTTCAAGACCTGCGCATGCACATCTTTGTATGTCTTTTCAATTTATGTACTTCTACATATCTTTTAATAGCAGTGGGATGCAGTGACAGTATATTGAGGATCAATATGAATGAACACTGAGCAAAACAAAAAGAAGGTAAAGGCCACAGGTACAAACATGTCTTAAATCTTCCTTGCGGATTTCATTATGTGCACACATTCATGTCGCCCTGAACGCAGATCATAGTGCATGCTGTCATCTTGTGTGAGAGCTGCATGATTTTTGTACACATCATGAAGTCTTGTGGTAAGAAGTAGCTTGAGTCTGTTACTTTCAGCCGACAGTGTTATGATTTCTCGAACAAAGTGGTAACCGCAGCAATGTGTGAGCATGTGCATATCCTCATAACTTATCTACCATGGGTATATTCTGAAAATGTGCCTGAAGAAACATCTTACTCTCTGATGCTTCTTAGTGACCAGGAAAATGGGATTCAGTGATGGGAGATCGTTCTATGAATAGACGGTTAGTCATTTAAGAATTCATTCTCACCACTGGAGTCCTAAAGAGGAAAAAAGAAATGTCGGGTTAACCGAACTGGGAGAATGACCTTCCTTTCATTAGATTCTAGTGTGCCTGAATATTGGTCTACTGTAAATATCAGACAAAAAAGTAACCTGTACCTATAGAAATATAAGAAAAGAGGAGCCACTAATGGGCTTGTATGATGTAGAGGAGACCCTTTACCCTGCTAACCAATTGAAATGTTTGGCAGATGTGTCTGGCTTCTTTGGGTCCCCACAAATTTTTCCTTTTAGCTAGTGTATTGAGGATCAATATGCATGGACGCTAACCAAAGCAAAAAGAAGGTAAAGGCCACAGGTACAAACTTGTCTTAAATCTTCAAGGAGGATTTAATTATGTGCACACATTCATGTGGCCATGAATGCAGATCATACTCCATGCTGTCGTCGTGTGAGAGCTACTTGATTTTGTACACATCATGAAGTCTCATGGTAAGAATTGGCATCAGTCTTGTTATTTTCAGCCTGCATTTTTGTTACCATTCCATGAACAAATGACATGGTAAGCACATCAATGTATGACCGTATACATACATACACTCCTAACTTAACTACAATGTATAGTCTGACATTGATGATTGTGTGATGTGAAACAACTTAGTCTGATGATTCTTCGTGACCAAATTCAAGACTGCATTGGGAAATTTGATCTGTGGATCGAATTGCTATGGGGAAACACATTCACGTCTCTCAATTACATGGATAAACATGACCCCAAATTACTGCTATAAAGGCCTCTGGTTAATAGATGCTCATTTCTATGATTTTTTTTTTTTTATTAGGTCACTCAACAAGACGTCAGGAAAGAGAACCCTCTGCAGTTCAAATTCAGAGCTAAGTTTTTCCCAGAGGATGTGTCAGAGGAGTTAATTCAGGATATAACCCAGAGACTATTCTTTTTACAAGTTAAAGAAGCTATATTAAACGATGAGATTTACTGTCCTCCTGAGACGGCCGTCCTTCTGGCTTCCTATTCTGTGCAAGCCAAATATGGAGATTACAGCAAGGATGTCCACAAACCAGGTTACCTGGCCAATGACCGGCTACTTCCTCAGCGGTAAGTGAAGCACATACAAGACAAGGTAACGCAGGTACCATAAACAGATGTGTGCTCCTATTCTTCTAATGAATGGATTGGCCGGGTATTTTTCCTTGTTATAGGAGTATTGATTCCTATGTTCTTGGAGAATGAAAATCAAATGGAATCTGTAAATAACATTGCCCTCCTTTGCCAGGATCAATGCTGTAGGCGTCCTTTTCTTGCAGGTGATACACAAAGGCTCGAGGATTCTAGCGTAGATTTAAAAGCTCAATCTGTGAACCAATTTCCCTTCTTAAATGTGTCAAATCCTCTCCTTTTGTCCCATATTTACTGGATATTTATTTCTAGAGTTGTTGCTGGCTGTAATTTCCTCTCAGCTGTAGCACTATATATAACCGCAATTGTCTTCTCCATGAGTTCTGTAAATTCCTTTTGAGATTGTTTAGAAAGGAAAACCTGTATGTCTGCACATTATGTATTTAGGGGACCTTTCTCAAGACGTACTACTGTATATAGCAGACTCTGTCATCAAATACAATATGAAGGCTAGTCATTGGCAGTAATTGCTGATCCCCAAAGCCATATAACAGGATATGTTTATTGCCTGTGCCCACCTTGCTTGAAGGGGACTTTAGAGAACAGAAATAAATATGGGAGCTGCTATTGTAGATTTCTAAAAATATTGGTTTTCTGGCTGTCTCTGACTTCACTACCTTCTAGGTCACTTGCCTAGAATAAGCGTGCGGATTGGAAACTCGTAGTAAAATCAGATCTTTTTATCTTCATATTTGCTCCAGGTCTATCTCTTACAGACTTTGGATCAGGATGGAGAATTTCCACCCTGTTCTTGATCTTAAGATCATGAAGTTCCTACAAGGCCAAAAGTTCCATACGCAACCTACCCATTCTGTCAGCACCTCCCTTCACCCATGGGACTTTCAGGGATCAGTGAACATTGATGCAACTTGTAACTTGTCCTCTGGACCTGAAAATAAGAAACATATATGCACAAGTTCAAATCAGGTAAAGTCTGATGACTATCAGCATAGTAGACCTTGATGACTGGAACAGTCTTTCAAGTGCAGTAAGTCACTCCATAAGAGGCAACTTGTAAAGTTCCTTGGTGATGATACAAGATAGTCTCTTTGGCAGGCTGAAGTCACTTTGGATAAGTCCATCCCTGGATGTGCATGGTGCACGTAGGTACCTGATGAACATGGGCTCATGTAACTCCAGCTGCAAAGTCTCCATGTGAAACAGGCACAGTTCCATGCTTCTGGGTGAGAAGAGTAGCTGGGGTAAGGATGGCTGTTAACTCCGAGTCTGCAGTCACATCACTGCTGATGAATGGATTCAGCTTGACAGTTGGACTGTTTTTAAGAATATCCTGCTTGTCACAGACACATTTTATCTCTGTGCTAGAGATGTTGTGTTCTGCATTGTATAGTAGAATCAGCTCACTATGAGCAATGTCTTTTGCAGAAATAAGATTTTGGCATATGTGCCAGTCCTGACAGTAGGCATCTGTGGGCTTAAGGTGTTGGCAGTGTGTAGCATGGACTAACCTTGTTGTAGTGCGGTCAGGCCTTGTCCACTTTGTGAAATGAGAGCCCAAGGTGAGTCCTTGTCCAGTTCTGGTGACAAGGGTTTTGCCTTCAAGACGAATCTCTGGACCGTTGTCAGGATCTAGAAGACTGACGACATCAGTTGTTGCTTCTCCTGGATGATCCAGCAGGAATTCAGGACCTGTTGACCACCCAACAGGTTGTTGAGCAAGAAGAATTTGCAAAGATACTTGCAGACATTGAGCGTCCCCAGAACCAAAAATAGTAAAACTAGAAAACATGGTACCTGCATGAATCTATAACCAGCCTGTTTGGCAGGGAGCACATTGGGAAGGTTTTAGTTGCACAAACTTTTGGCCAAAAATATGTAAAAGCCACACTGCTGCGCCAAGGCATCTCTGCAAAGTGTGGTCCTAACTCTATGTATACGAGTCTCCATGTGTGAGCATATTAATGCAGTCAAATTGCATGCAGGTGTACCTAGATATATTTTTTTCTAGATAGCTTACATCAACCTTCAGGCACCAGAAGTCGTGCAGTTCAAATAGAAGCGGAACTGATTCTAGCTTGGGCAGAACTTCATGTTCCAGTCCTGTTTACAAATTAGCAGATCTCCTCACCTCATATGGGAAACTTCCTGGCTTCAATGTCCCCATCTTTACAGCGCATTAGCGTTTCCTATGCTTTGCTGTGGGGCCCCTACATTACCAGTTTGTGGCCCTGACCCAGGTCAGATGTAGTACGCAGATCTGGTAACACACCTGGTGGATGCTCTGTGAGCTCTACCACATTGTTCGGATCATCTGTCTCAAGAATCCCTTTGCTATTCTTCGGGGTCACTAGCTTCAGGAACATGGCTGTTGAAGCCCAGGTTCTGAGAGACAGGGGCATGTCTTAACTGATTCCTTTGATGTTAAAAGCCATGATGTTTACATCCTGCAAGGTCTGTCATCGAACATGGAATGCATACTTAACTTGGTATGAGACTCAGGCTTCTACCCTAGGATTTTCTTCATGTGTCAAATCCTCTGCTTCCCACAGCTGGATGGCTGGACCAACAATTGGCTGTCAGCTCTACCAAAGGCCGGGTTTCTGATCTTTCTATCTTGTTTCAAAGACTGTTGTCCTCTCACTACTTAAGACCTTTGTACAGGGGTTCTCCCATGTTCGTTCCTCTTTGACTCCGTGTGATTTAAATCTGGTTCTCTCTCGTGATTCACAAACCACCGTTTGAACTTTTAGAAACATTCCTCTCCCTATTTTCACCCACAACATATTATTCCTTGTAGCCTTCACCTCTGCAAGGCGAGTGTCTGAACTGGCGACCTAATCCTGCAAAGAACCTTTTCTGATTTTGCATAGGGAAAAGATGGTGTTGAGGCCCAGGACTTCCTTCCTGCCGAGGGTAGTTCTGCCTTTCCCCTCAACCAGGACATCACTCTTCTGTTCTTCTGTCTCGCTTCAGTTCACCTAAAGGAATTTTGCCTCTATTGTCTTGATCTGGTTCGGGCTGTGAATGTCTGTGCATTGGCTTCTCTTTCTGCCATCTTTATGTGGCTCAGACAGACTATCATTCAATCCTGTGATATCAAGGATCTGCTTTTGCCCTTTCTTGTCAAGGAACACTATGCTAGAGCTCTGCAAGAGATGCTTGGGCTCTTCAGTATCAAGCTGTTTCCCAGATTTGCAAGACTGACACACAGTTTTCTGTTCACACGTTCTCTACTGTAAATTCTGTCAGGTGGATGTTGCCGGGTAATCTAATGCCAGCTTCAGGCAGCTCTTTAAAGTGCAAGCAGTCCCCAGTTTTCTGTTTTCATGGGCATTTTTTGCTGTGTTGCCCAATTCTCGGACTGCTTTTGGTTGTCCTGAAGGTTACAGAACTCCTGTGTCGCTCAGTGGACAAGAACAAAAAAAGTATTTTTCTACTTACCATACAATCCTTTCATTGGAGTTCATTGTGGTACACAGGTCTCACCTCTCTGTGTTTATGTTCATGCTCTAGATACTGCTTGCTACAAAACTGAGGCAAGCCGGTAGTAGGAGGGTTATTACGAGGTGGCCTATGTTTGTTTTCCATTGTCGTATCCTCCAGTAGACTGCAGTATAGTCTGAAGTTGAAAGAATTAGTATGTTCATCAATGGAAAAGGATTTGACAAAAATCCTGTATTGCACACAGCCTGTAGGTTTAGCCTTCAGCTTGAACTTTGCTAACACTTCTTAGTTTAAACAATCATTACTTATTTAACATTGTTCTGTTTTATTTTTTCCAGGGTTTTGGAACAACATAAACTGACAAAAGAACAATGGGAAGAAAGAATACAAACCTGGCACGAGGAGCACAGAAGCATGTTAAGGTACAGATAGTGATCGACTGTTTGTTTTACACCCGTTAATCCTAAGACTGAAGCTGCAGTCTATGCTATTTTCTATGTCAGATCACCCAGAACTGGTAGTTCAGTTTTTGCCAGCTGCAAGAGTTTTAACCCTTCTCATCATTTCCAATGGCTATCTGGAATTCCAGCTGCAAAATGTATGCTCCAATGTATAAGCTGGCCCTATTGTTCCTGTTAGATGTTTCAGTTTTATGTAATGCAACAGTTTTAGTATTAATTTGGTCAGAACCAATTTGTGGTGGAAGGATATTTTTACTGTAGTGTCCAAAATGCATTTGAAACTTGAAAGTGACTTGGGCCACCACAACACTCCACCTGTAATATCACCTCTGCTCTCCCCAAAAAGCTAACATAGTGTCCGGCTTCTCCTATTTGCTGCCCCTGTATTTACTTTTTTGAATGTACTTGGTGGGAAAATGACGTCACTGAGACGCCGAGGGGTGGGTTTTAGGTTGATTATCAGTTTCACTGTGTGTATATATAGGTGGTGGTTTTTGATTGTAAAGATGTTTATTTTGAGCCTGATGAAGGGGACCCTGCGCGGCCCCAAAAGCGCTTGTAATGATTGAACATCAATAAATGGATTTCAGTGACGCTTAAGTCGTTGTCGTGCTGGTGACATTCCTATACTTGAAGGAAGGCTCAGTCTTGGATGTAACTGTGTGATGTGAATAAACGTCAGGCTTCATTTCTTCTAAAAGGACCCCATTTTGTGAAGCATTGCACATCCAGAAACGGACACGTTTAAGGAATTTTCTCTTAGGGCCCATGGACACTAGGAGGATCATTTGTTTTATGTAATTCAAATGGTTGCAAATCCTCTGTGCTTGTATAAAATTCTAAAAAGATTTTTGGTTCTGAAACACAAAAAATACCAGATTCAGGTCCAGCTAAAACTCCAAGGAGCTGCCTAGCACCAAGAACTAGAAGGTGCCTGCTATTACCTTCAATAGGCAGAATACATTTTTCTTCTCAGCACCTGGTATTGGCAGTTTTCTGTGTTCTCTGCTCCTGGTGTGGAGAACTAGCGTGGATAGTGCGTAGTTAGCCAGTGTTTTGACCTTCTGCTACCTAAAATTGTAACAGTTGATCATCCCCTTAAAACAGCACTTTGCATTTAACCCCCGCAACACTTAACCCTAAGGTGATTCTCACACTAACCTTTTGCCAGGACTAAGCTCTGCTTACTCATACTCATCCTGTACTGGAAGCAAACAAACCTGTGCCAAAAGCATTTAGTATCAAGATCATGCAGCATTGAGATCCAAGCAACAGAATAACCTGATCTGAGAAAAACCTTCTTTGTGCATCTCTCCAAGTTAGTTTCACATAGTTACTGGAGACTTTATTCCATGACTTCTAGAAGCCTCTCCCACCTTTTTTATTATCATTTTGGTCTTTTTGTTTTCTCCACAGGGAAGACTCTATGATGGAGTACCTAAAAATTGCCCAGGATCTAGAAATGTATGGTGTCAATTATTTTGAAATAAAAAATAAAAAGGGCACGGAGCTATGGCTGGGTGTGGATGCATTGGGCCTTAATATATATGAACATGAAGACAAGTAAGTGTAAACTTGTGTTTTCTCCTCTAAAATAATAATTTTGCTCTTAAAAAAAAAAAGAGGTTAACATTACTGGTTTTTCAACATGGAGATGCATACAAGAGCAGACAGTATGTAGTCGTAAACTTGAAGAAGAACAAAAGGTGATAAAATGAAAAAAAAATAATAAATCAGATTTTCATCCTACAAAATGAAATGCATATTTTTTTTTTTTTTTTTTAAAGAAAAGTTTTACTGGTGCTGTATATTGTGAAACATCAGACATTTAATCATGTGGCCCAGTACAAGTTCCTGCTAGGTCCACTTAAATACAGTGAGAGCTGATTTAAAAAAAAATATTTTTTATTTCTATATATCATTGTAAACTGCTACAAAAATAGAAGTACAGTCTATGGAATAACAACATTACTTTTAGAGAGGTAGCTAGTTGTCTGTTAAAACACGGGCAAATGGGAGGCCATGATTGTGGACGCTCCTTATGTTTACACCAGGACTCTTTCTGCTGTTCACTATCACTCTTCTCTTAAGGTGCCCATACACTGCACGATTCTCGTACGAGAATCGTGGGAAATCCCGCGATCGTACAAGAATCGTGCAGTATATGGAAGGCGTGCGACCGTTTCTAATGTACGGTCGCACGACTTTTGTATATCAAGCATGTTGGAAAACCAGCCGAGAATCGTACGATTTTCGGCTGTTTTTTAATATGATCGAGAGATCACTGCCGAACGGCCGCTGTGCACACACGCACACTGCCCGTTCAGCATTGCAGTCATCGGAAGCCCACCCCTCAGGGGGGCAGGCTTGCGATGATCGCAGGTACGATCTGCCTGTCCAAGATGGGCAGATCGTACATTTTTTAAATTACTTTACAACCCTCGCAAGACAAAAGTCTTGCGAGGGTTGTAAAGTGTATGGGCACCTTTAGTAGCACTGCCAGTGTCCACAATCAGCCTGAGACTAAGCAGTACACTGTTTCTAAACGCTTTGCAGATGTTCATCTCCAAATATGTGAAAGAAATTGTAATTTGCTCATGATGGTACAATCTACCTCGCTCATGGGAGGGGTTTAATGTGATGCTGCTGTGGGTTCCTAAATCAAATGGCTCCGCTGTTTTGGTTTTGAGCACATTTTTGAAAACCAGTTGCTTTGTGCATTTAAAAATCTGCTTTAATATTCTCAATGCCTCAGAAATGCCATGTCACTTATTCAATTATCCTTTTTCTTTCTCTAATCAGGTTGACCCCTAAAATTGGATTTCCTTGGAGTGAAATCAGGAACATCTCCTTTAATGACAAAAAATTTGTTATAAAACCGATTGACAAGAAAGCCCCGGTAAGATCAGTAGTTTCTCAGACAAAATTTCCAGTGTGACAAAGGTATGTGTCCCCTTATTTGGTTGACTTTTTGGCAGGCGCTTAGAGGCTCAGTCCACCTTTGTGACCATGTTTCGTGTTACACCCATGTTCAGGGTATAACATAAAACATTGGCCTGGGATGTAAACAGTGCTGAAGCCTGTGCATGGCTCTGCAGGTTTCAATGCAAACATCTTATAAATGCACATTTTATCATTTATTAATTTGGGTGCACTTATTACATTTTTGCAAAAGATGGACTATGCCTTTAAACGTTATCATGGGTTTCCATTTATCTTTTGAAAATCCTTTTAAGGAGCAAAGTTAAAGCACTTTGTTAAATACAAGGTTGAAATAAACGTATTTAAAAAGGATTTTTAATTTAATTTTGCCACTTTTTATTCATTCACCTCTGCCATGCTGCAATGCCAGAAAGGAGACACAGCTTCACCACTTGTCATGTCACCTCTCCGCCTTTGGCATGCTCACTGTATAGTTAAAGTATCACTTCTCTCTGTTGAGCATTTAGGAAACTGTAAATGTGAAGCGGGGTATAGTGATGTTATTTTCCAAGCTGTGCAGTGTAACAGAGGTGTGTGAATCACTGGAGGTGGGGTGTGTGAAGACTAGCACAATACAATACAGGCACATTTCCCCATTTCTTAATCCCTTTAGGCCCTTTAAGCGCGGAGCAGGTGCAGAGCAGACCAGTTGCAGACCGGATCAAAACTGCGTCCAATGTATTCCAATGGTATTTTTTGCTCCAGTTCACATCACAGCGTGCAGTTCCAGGGACCGGTTAAAAAAAACTGCAGCAGGCCCTATTTTACCTGCTCTGGATCTACAAACGCATCAAAAACGCATGCAAATGCCTGAAACTGACTGAAAGCCCATGTTAAACTAAAACATTTTTTTTTTAACCAAAAACGGCCCGGAGCGCAGCAAAAACGCGGCACAACCCACTGCACTGCGTGTGCATAAACTCTGCATTTGGTGTGAACAAGGCCTTAATACCCTGCAAGTACAGAAAATAACTCTTGCTTTGCCAGAAATATACTCTGGTCCTAAGTCCTCTTGTGGGCTGACCTTGCACTGCATTTTGGTAGACTGGGTGGTGTCAGACCTTACCATTTGTCATTTGCTAAACTATTGAAACCCTTCTACCCTCCTCATCTCTACAACATATACACTGATCATTCTCTGATGATCAAGAATCTAGAAATTGGGCCACATGGCACCACGTCATAATATTTAAGTCCAGATATAAAATGTGTAAATCCAATCTACTAAACAATGAAATCATGTTTTGCTCTTTGTGTAAAGTCAGTCATTCCAGCTATAGCTTGTTAGCAGCTGGTTTTAGCAGTGACATCGCACCTGAAGGCAGCTGCTGACGAGATTGGGTCATTACCTTCATTATACCAAACAATGCATTCACCACCAAGTCCTTGTACCCTGTTGCCTATCGTTTTTTCCCTGATGAACAGAACGTGTTGAAGTTTCCTCCATTTTACCCTAGAATACATTTGTATCAGGCCTTGAATATCACAGTGTGGCACTTTGTTTTCGAGATTCACTTATTCCAGCCACAGTCCAAGGTGACTGGGAAACCCTCCGATGTGCAGAAGCCACCAGCGCAGTGTCCAACACCTTACAGCAGCACCACCATTACACTATTGGGTAACAATAAGAAAACATTTAGGGTTTTAGCACAATCCATCCATTTCTCTAAGCACTCATTTTATTCTGTTACACATGAGAGCTAGGAGGTCTAATTAGACTCTTTGAGATAAACCAGAAAGTGTGCACAGGACAGCTCTGAATGTGTGACAAGAATGACGGGTATATTTTGCACTTATTAACCAGATATAACAAAGAATTTTAGTGGTATATTTAAGATTACAAAAAGTAACGAGTAAGAAAAGTTCATTGGGGTTTACATACACTTTAAATGTATTTTTACATGCAAGCAGTGTAAGTACCTGAATTTTACGGGATATTAGCTTTTTTCAGTTTCTGTACTGCAGAGCTCAGACTGGGGGAAGGAGAAGCAACAGTCGGAGCCAATCATTTGTGCTGCTTGTGCTAACAATAAGCATGTTGATCAGAGGAGAGTGTAGTGCGTCAGATTAGCTTTTGTCAGTCCTAAGCTCCTCCTTTCACTGTCTAGTCATATGGTTGGGGTGGGGAGGAGACCTGTCAGTGTTGTTGAACTGCAGCAGAGAAAAATCCTGCCCTGCCACACAGGGCTATGTAGTGTGGCAGAGCTATATAAATCTAAGATCCAGACGTACAGAAATACTAGATGGCTGGTAAAATCGTTCCCATATATGTATTTCATCTGTGTATTTAGCTTTTTGTCTGGAGATCGGCTTTAAATGTATGTGTATTTTTTAGCTTCATTTGCAGCTTTTGAAGCTAGTACTAAGGCTTGATCAGTGCCTTGCATGACGTAGAAAAGGAAGAGTGTTCAAATTTAGTTTGCTTTTTTGTAAGAATCCGTGACGATTGAGGTTGTTTTATACACATATTGTACACACATTTCCAGAAAGAGTACCAAGAGCTAGTAAATATTTGCTTCTTCTCTTTCTCAGGACTTTGTATTTTATGCTCCCCGTTTAAGAATAAATAAGCGTATATTAGCCCTGTGTATGGGCAATCATGAACTCTACATGAGGAGAAGGAAGCCTGACACAATCGAGGTTCAGCAGATGAAGGCTCAGGCCAGAGAGGAGAAGCATCAGAAACAGCTGGAGAGGTATGGTGGGGCCACTCTTCTTCAATGTTTGGTCATAGGGTTACTCCTTGTCTCGGTCCTCACTGGCCTGCCTTGCTTAAGGGCAAATTCAGTAAGCTGTTTGAGTTATTGTAACTATTTTTGTCATCACTTAGCCTGGCATTGCAATATTCAGGGACTGAGTGGCTCTTGTGCATCAATACATTAGTGTCATTTTATCTGGGTTTTTAAATTCAAGGGGCAGAGTGGGGTGTCCGTTCCATTTTATTTATTCTTTTCCCCCTCCCACAAGTCTTTATTTTCCAGGAATCTTTAAATGTTTTTTCATTTCTGCTTGGGCCTGGGGTGTCTTTTTTGTCTATTTAACCACTTCAGACGGGTTCACGTAAATGCACGTCATCCACTTGAAGTGGTTATTTCAAGAACACGACTGCTGCAGCTGTGTTCTTGGTATTGTTTTAAACAGCAGGTGATTGCTGTTTCATGTGCAAGCGAGCCGACGTCTGTACAGGCACCGGATCGTTTGTATGGTGCGGCGCTATATGCACCCTCCGCTGCCAGCTCTTTCCCGGGCTCCGCTGTCCCCCGTGCGGGCCCGGAACCGGCACTGTGGGTCTCCCCTGACAGATTGGAGGGAGATCAGTAAGCTTCTAGCCGCTAATCTTTCCTCCGTTCACTGGACCCGGAAGTGATGTGCATTACATCACTTCCGGTGTCGCTGTGTACATTCTCCGACTCTTAGAGCCAGGAGAAGAAGCTGATGAAGCTGATCTCTGCTTCATCAGCTTCTTTTGGGTCCCTAGGTGACATTAGGGGTCTGAAAGACCCCTGATGTCTCCATAAAGAGGACCTGTCACATCCTATTTGCTATTACATAGGGTGCTTATTAGCCCCCTATGTGATAGCAATAAAGTTAAGTGTAAAAGAAAAAAAAACCAAAGTAACATAAAAAAAATGCCTGCACGCAGATACAACGCAAACAGGCGTCGCATGTGCCTACGTGCAAAAGCGAAATTGCTCCACGCATCACATATCGATGCGAGCGTCGAAGTGAGAGCAATAATTCTAGGGCCATCAATCATGGTTAACACTGAACTGATGAGCAATAAAAACTTTTAAAGCGTCGCCTATGTGAAATTTTGGATTTTGCGGTTTCACGGATGCACACAATTTTAAGGCTTGATATGTTTGGTATCTATTTACCCGGCGTGACCCCATCATTTATATTTTACCAAAAAAATGGGTATTCTGTTTCTGTGCACTAAATTTCATTTTAGTGTATTTTATTCTTAAAAATACTGGTTTGATAAACATTTGTGCAAATACCGTGCAACATAAAAAATTGCAACTAGCATTTTTTTTTTCTACAGTGCCTCTACTTTCAGAAAATATATCATTGTTTGGAGGCCTGCAGCCGTTTTCTAGCCAAAATTCAGATTTCATCATGTGTGCAAATAGTAATAAATTGCTCCAGGCAGCAAGTGGTTAATTGTATAGCATAATATTTTTTTAGCATGTTTTTTTGTGGCGCTGAGAAAAGCTAAAAAATATAACAAAAAAGGGTACTAGTAAAGGTAATGCAATAGGGAGAATGGTTCAGAGACTAGTACATACCTTGTTTTGCAACACAGTCGATGCAAGGAGACTGGCCATGCAAGCTTGGAATCCAGAGGGATGTTTAAATATACTATGAGGGGGATTTATCAAAACTGGAGCAGCTGTGCATGGCAACCAATCAGCTTCTCCCTAACATTTTCATATCTTAACTGACCAAACTGAAGAGAGAAGGTGATTGGTTGCCATGCACAGCTGCTCCAGTTTTGAGAAGTTCCCCTCTGTATGTTTACTAGTTCACCTGCCAAAGGATATATAGTTCTGTTCATCTTGTACTGGGGTTTATGTACATCTGATGCACTGCAGAACCAGACAGAGGACACACCTACTTAGTGGTTTAGCAATTCAACATCCTGTATCACCTCTCCACCTCCAGCCTGCTTGCTGGACAAATAATTATCATTGTCTTTGTGTAATTTGAGGGAGCAGATTCTGAAAGTAATAGTCAAGTTCCTAGCTATGCAGCTGAGCAAAATTATAAATCCTTTACCAGGTAAACCAGTTCACATAAATGCATATCTGCTATGTATTTGAGTTGTTTGAGAATTCAGGTAGTTCATATTTGTGGCACTTTCACAATGTGTCTTTATGGCTGCAGCAAATTCAAAAAGAATGCTAGTGCTGAGAGCAGGGCATATAGTGAAGGAAGAATTCGGCCGCACTCCAGGGCAGGTTTTTACTATACAACAGCAGGGCAGCTTCTTACTGGTAGCTCGGACACTGGCAGCACCTGCATTCTAGCAACCAATGACATATTCCCCCTCCCCTGCCCAGTTGATAGCTGAATGTAAACAAAGGAGGTGGGGATGCTGACTGACACCTTTTATCCAAATATGGCAATATCCATATTTGGTCAATGAGGTCCACGCAATCCCCACACTTTTGTTTACATTCAATTTAGCTTGAGGTGTATATATGGACTGTGGATGTGGTGTCCCCAGTATGGACACTCTGGCTTTAGTGCCACCCTCACCATGCCTCCATGCAATAAATTCATGTACCCATTTCCTACAGGTACATACATTTTTCGTGTGGAGGTATGACGCAATTCTAAAGAGTGTCTCCAACAGAATTCAAGGGTTTGTTTTGTATTTTTCAAGGTTCAGTTTCTGGGCTGTTCAGAAGTTGAGAATACAGGCTAACTATAAAAATGAACTGTTGGGGAAATCAGGTGAGGAAAATGAAGGCCAAAATGGCAAGTGTCACCAGCAGCTTGTGTTTTCCATGAGTTACTCATAATGTGCATTGGGCAGTATTCTTAGCAGCACACTTCTTTACTCATTTTAGCCCTCGTTCACACCTGAACGTTTTGTAGCGCGTTCTACGCTCAAAGAACGCTCTACAAAACGCTCAAACATCTAAATCCCATTGTATTCAATGGGTCTGGTTCCCACCTTGGCGTATCTCAGCCCGTCCCTAACGCGCTACAAAACGGCCCATGCCTGAAAAGGTACATGTACTACTTTGGGCCGTTTTTGTTGCACGTTTCCATTGGGATACAGCCAAGTAGCCCTCGGAAACGCGTGTTTGTTGCACGATTTTTTTACCGCGAATCGTGGTAAAAAAAACGCGCGACAGACGCGCATATGCAATACTCCTAGGTGTGAACCAGGGCTTAGTGCGTATGTAGTGTCTGGCCTGCATGAACTCTGCATGGCACTGTGTCATTGGAGGGAAGGAGGAGGGGTAATGTGGGGCTGGAGGATTCTGTGGATTAGGACGGGGTGGAGCTGCAGGTCAGGTCACATCTGACACTTGATACACATAAGACATTTAAGCTTTCCCTCTTCCCAACAATGAATATAATGCTACAAATTGGCTTAACTATTTCCTGTTTACTTTCCTGGGTCTTCAGTTTAGAATATTGAACTGGACGTATTTAATTATTGGCATCGTGGAGCTCTTCGCTGTCACTGGGTGATCAGATTAGACTAGATTAATTAGCACAGATTTGTGGCGGGTGCCTCCAGAAAGCTGCTGTGGTATGTATTGTGTTCTTACATTGTCTTTCTAAGAAGTTGATATTTGTGTGAGAATGATGGCAATTAACAAGATTTAGCTTGACTTGCTGTTATGTATTTCCTAATTTATACTGCTAACAGCCTTCGTTTAAGGAGGTAGAAGCAATGCCTGTAGAAGGAATTCCGCAATCATCTTGTATTGCTCCTTTTAAACTGATGTAAACTGATTGATGTACCTGAAATGTATTTGTTGTAGATTATGGCATGTTACACTTGTGTCAGTATTATTTTGTACAGATAAGTTGCTGCCATTAGCAACTTATCGGATCATCTTGTTATATTAAATACATTTTAAGAGTATCTAAACCCAAAAACAAAAATGTAACATGTTGCTGCTTACAAGTCTTTAGATGTGGTGGCTTGATTAGTTTTCTCTTTTCAGCCTAAAAACATTTTCAGCAAGTACATAGCTGCAATATATAAAATTTTTTGTTTTATTGGTTTAGATACACTGTAGGGTACAATTATATACCCATAGACCATTGACAATAGTCGAACTTGCATGCATAATCCGACCACCCTCGGAAACAAGTATCGGTCTCTTGCCACACAACATGGCAGCTTCCCTGAGTGCACAAACACTCACAAAAGACAGCATTGTACAGCTGATCTGTCATGTTTATTCCTGTGGAGGAGATGAGCATAGCGTGCAGGGGCTGCCAGAATAGTGACCTGTCCAATTGACTTTATCTGCAGATAGTGGTTGCTTGTCACGAGCTGGTATATATCCCTGCTAAAATCTAGTGGACTGGGCAACTGTCATCTCATATCTATGGGTACCAGAAATATCAAACCAGCATGAATTCTTACAAGCAGGTGCTAATGACCAGTAATTTCATATGTAGGTTGAAACAGTCATTAGCTAAAACAGAAACCGTTGTTTAGGAGGCTTAAAACTGGGTGAGGAACAGCCAAACTCTGCTATTAAGGAGAGGTTGTGGTAGACATTTTCATGCACCATGGCAAGACTGAGCACAGCAACAAGACACAAGGTAGCTATACTGCATCCGCAAGGTCTCTCCCAGGCACAAATTTCAATGCAGACTGGGATTTCAAGATGTGCTGTTTTAAGGTCTTTTGAAGAAGCACAAAGAAAATAGGCAATGTTGAGGACCGTAGATGCAGTGGTCGGCCAAGGAAACGTAATGCAGCAGATGAAAATGTATCAAAACCAGAGCAGATGGAATCTGGAGCAGCTGGCCATGGCAACCAATCAGAATCCACCTTTCATATTCAAAACTGAACAAATTGAAGAGAGAAACTGATTGCTTGTCATAGGCGACAGTTCCAGATTCTTCTGCTCCAGTTTTGATAAATCCCCCTAATCATGCTTCCTTTCAACATTGAAAGATGTCCAGCAGTGCCATCAGCTCCAAAATGGCGGAAACCAGTGGGACAGTGGGACCCAGGTACACCAACCTACTGTTCGGAGAAGTCTGGCCAGAAGTGGTCTTCATGGAAGAATTGTGGCCAAAATGCCATACCTCTGACATGGAAACAAGGCTAAGCAGTTCAACTATGCACAAAAACATAGGAACTGGGGTGCAGAAAAATGGCAGCATGTGGTCTGGACGGAGTCAAAATTATAAATATTTGTCTGTAGCAGGAGGCAGTTTGTTCACCAAAGGTCTGGAGAGCGGTACAATAATGAGTGTCTGCAAGCAACAGTGAAGCATGGTGGAGGTTCCTTGCTAGTCTGGGGCTGCATTTCTACCAATGGAGTTGGAGATTTGGTCAGGATCAATGGCGTCCTCAATGCTGAGAAATACAAGCAGATACTTATCCATCATGCCATACCATCAGGGAGGCGTGTGATTGGCCCCAAATTTATTCTGCAGCAGGACAGCGACCCCAAACATACAGCTAATGTCATTAAGAACTATCTTCTGTGTAAAGAAAAACAAGGAATACTAGAAGTGATGGTTTTGCCCCCACAGAGCCCTGATCTTAACATCAAGTCTGTCTGGGATTACATGGAGAGAAGGATTTGAGGCAGCTTACATCCACAGAAGATCTGTGGTTACATCTACAAGATGTTTGGAACAACCTACCTGCCGAGTTTCTTCAAAAACCTGTGTGAAGTGTACCTAGAAGAATTGATGCTGTTTTGAAAGCAAAGGGTGGTCACACCAAATATTGATTTGGATTTCTCTTCTGTTCATTTACTTTCCATTTTGGTAATAAAAAATAAACTATTAACACTTTTATTTCTGAAAGCATTCTTACAGCATTTTTCACAATTAGTATGCATCTAGAACCATGTGTAGTTATCAAGTAAACACTGATTCTTTATTAGGTTGCATATAACCTGGCAAAATGGCCACAAAACCTTTCCTATAATTACTTACAAGTACTTAGTAAGCGCATCTCCCGTAAAAGTTAACTCATAAGAGTAAATGTCCTGAGCAGAGAGAGAAAAAACAGTTAATAGTACTTCTCAAAAACCCGTCTTATCTTTATTTTAGTCCCAGTTCAGTTTGGAAGCTATTTAGTTGCTACTGGGCAGCACAAACCTTTATATTAGGTGCTGTGACAAATCAAGTCTGATGTAACTAGATGGAAATGTTCCGCTTTCAGTAGGATCCAGATGTCTTTTCCCAGCCCAGGGAACAGGTTATATTCTCACTTCTTCTGAATTCCAGGTACAGCTTTCATTAGCACAGGTGTTTATGCAGCCAGGACAAAGTACCGCACCCATCCATCATCAGAGGTTTTATGTTCTCATATGTATCCTCATATGAATTGCCTTGGGCAATTGTGGTTTAGATTTATGTAGCACAATATGAAAAGTCATAGACTTTGATCTTTTTATCGGTTACCCACAACTCCAAACACAACTTACTTATGTTGGTTTTTTTTTAATCAAGGCCAACTCAACATCTAGCCCAGGGGTCAGCAACCTTAAACACTCAAAGAGCCATTTGGACCCGTTTCCCACAGAATAGAAAACACCGGGAGCCACAAAACCCTTTTGACATCTAAAATGAAGATAAGACTGCATATATAGTTTTTTACCTTTTATGCGATGTATAGCATGTATATAGGTATATGTGGGCTTAGTAACGCACTGGACTCTGGGCTTAGTAACGCACTGGACTCTGGGCTTAGTAACGCACTGGACTCTGGGCTTAGTAACGCACTGGACTCTGGGCTTAGTAACGCACTGGACTCTGGGCTTAGTAACGCACTCTCCCCCACCCCCGCTCCTCATTCGGACTCACCTGGCAAGCCTCACAGCCAGCATCCCAGCCAGACGGTGTGTACTGCAGGGGGCGGGGCATGTGACACACACTTCGCCTCTCCCGCCACCTGTTACTAGGGACTCGGCTGGGAGAGGAGGTGAGTCACAAGACCCCGCCCCCTTACCGAGAAGCCCGGGGATCCTGCACTGCCGCATATTCCACCGGGGGGGGGGGGGCCCAGGACCGGACCTCACTGGGCCCCCCCACAGCCTCAGGCCCTGCGGCCCCAGGGGTAGTTCTGACCCTGGACAGGGAGCCGCAGCAGAGGGATGAAAGAGCCACATGCGGCTCTGGAGCCGCAGGTTGCTGACCCCTGGTCTAGGACATAGGTCCTGTGGATTACATTAAATGTAAGCCTTGCTATGTAATGTAAAGAAAACATGGAAACATTTATTTAAGTGATGCCTTTAATTGACCGACTAAAGTCAACTTCAGCCAAAGTTTTTTCTTTCAGTAGTTTTAAATATTGTGTGTAGGAGATAAAATCTTACTTTAATTGCGGCCTATGTTCCCATTTGAGGTTTTTCCTCACTTGTCCCAGTCACAACTGCTAAGGGGTCAGGAGATAAGTTCTGAGAGCCTGATAGGGGTTTGAAAGAGATATCACCTTGCCATTCAGGACAGAGAGTCTTTAAAGCCCACCCCAAAAACATTATACTTGTCTCTTCAGCGCTCCACCATCGCTCCTTCATCTGTGGCCTTCACTGCATAATATCAAGTGCTTCTAGATATGGTGGTGCATGTGACTTCCTCCCATGATGCAGTGCTCAGGTTAAGCAGCTGATCGCTGTGCCCGAGCACTGTCATGATGAAGAGGATGATGTCATTGCTCCCTCAGAGTTTCTTCACTTACTGTCGATGTGTATTTAGGTGACGGTTGTGACAGAGAAAGGAGATGCTGGACAGGTTATTTTGTGGTGGGAGAGGCTTTACTTTTTCCTGGCCATGGTGACAGTGTCTCTTTATCCTTCCCCCATTCTTTTCAAGAAACTAAGTTTTGTTTATAGTAAGTGGCATTTGTTCCTTCAAAAAACTTGTGCACAGATGGAGTTGAACGATGAGAGCGGTGTTGGGTGTCTTAGTGGTGTTTATTGTGGAATAAATCTTTCTGCACTTCTCAGACAGTGGTTGATTGCGGTGATTTGCCAGAGACTGGGAAGCATCCTTTGTAACTTATCATTGACTGTATGCTCTGTTTACCTGACTGGACATGTTCCTTCTTGTCTAGAGCACAGCTAGAAAATGAAAAGAAGAAAAGAGAAATAGCAGAGAAGGAAAAAGAGAGAATAGAACGTGAAAAAGATGAACTGATTGAACGGCTGCGACAAATCGAAGAACAGACGCTAAAGGCACAGAAAGGTATTTTTAATAAATATTCCAGCAGTATTTGCAACTTGTCATTTGGAAGCAGGTATTTTTTAAGACTGTCCAATGCAACCGTAGTACAAAACAGAGTGGAGTATAGTTTGTCTTTCAAGATAATTGCACATCTATGGTCTTTTGGAGGCTGAATGAGCTAAATAATTTGCAGTGTAAAATCAAATTTCCTTTTTTAGCAGACT